GGGTGGCTGGGATGGCCCAGGGATGGCACTAGAAGGAGAACAGGCAGCTCTTAAGAGGCATTCTGCTGCTGCTGCTCCCACCCGTGGAAGGCTGTTAGGGATATGCTGCATTTTCCCTTCCTTAATGCTTGTCTGCATACATTTGTGTTTTCATGTGAGAAGCAGATTTGTTTGCAATAAAAAGCATATGTGTATTCACTTTGGTGGTTATGAGGGTGTGCATAATACACTCACAAAAAGTCCGAAGTTTCATGGAGACAAAAGTTTAATCTTTCTGTCGCTTCTAGTAAGGAGAAAGTTTTCAAGTTATGCAAGTAAGCTTATGCTTAAATATTTTATGACTTAGCAATGTGCTGGTTCAGGATTTAGATGAGGTTTCCATTGTCTTCCCTCACTGATTAATGCTCAAGGTAAAATACAGAACAACTATAACTTCTAACTTCTTTGGTTTTCCATAGATATTGGTATTAACCTGACAGATCCTATGTTCAGAGGAATCTACAGGGGAACACAGAAACATCAAGGTAAATGTTTCTTTGTATCTGCTGGAAGGCAGGATCTCTTGCTGAGTTAGAAACCTCTTGCATGTCAGAACATGATGTTAGGGTCTCTTTCTTCTCCTTCTTATGTACTTGGGCTTAAAAAAGAAAGCCTGACTAATGAAATTGGATACTCTCACCAAAATGTATTGTCTTAATTGCATTTTATGTGCAGGTAACTCTGCTTCTGGAGCAAAATGGATAATTGCTAATCTATTTAGGATTGCATTGAAAAACTGATATGAGAGTTATGAACAGTGGTCTGTCATAGTATTGCATTACTGAAACAAGGTTACTAATTATAATGTGGGGCTTTTTGCTCTTGTGGCTTTTAGATACAGATGTAAAGGTGGAGAGCCTTCTAAAGTATGTGGAAAACCTTCCACTGACTTCTTGAATTTAAATTAGATCTCCAGTTATTGCACTTTGTTTTTATCTTATAAAGATTAATTAAGTATAGTTTAAACATTTAATGATAATAATTTTGATTGCATGAAAATTTAAAAGTAGTTAAACTATACTGTAAAACCTCAAGTTCAACTTAGGACATTTTTGTGAACTTTTGCAGATGACTTTCTGGATGTAATAGAGAGAGCAGTCAAAGTTGGCATTAAAAAGGTAATTTCTTATAATGAAATGGCATTAAAATTTTAAGCTGCTTTCTAATACTTGGTTTTTTAGTGCTCTCCCACTAACACAATGTTTCTGGGACTCTAATGGAAAATGCAGTAACTTCCTTCAGTAGCACAAAACTAAAGTGTTCTGTGCTGAGTGTGGTCTTTCTGTTTGCACAGGTCATTGGAGCTGATTATTGGAGTTCAGTGATACTGTAGATGATGTGGATGTAGAAGTTACTTTGTAAAGTTTCAACAGAAAAATATTCTTCTCTGGCCTGCTGCAATTAAGTGGTACATAATTTTCCATGTTGCTTTATAGGCAACCATTCCTTTTTTCTTGTATTCTGTGTGGCTCTTGGAGAGTAAATCCTATGAAAAGCTGCTGTGGGAGCTGAGAGTTGTTTAACTTGCAGAAAAGGAGGCTCAGAGGAGACCTTATCATGTACAACTCCTGAAAGGAGGCTGTAGCCAGGTGGGGATCAGTCTCTTTTCCCAGGCAAGAAGTGACAGGACAAGAGGAAATGACCTCAGGCTCTGCTATGGGAGGTTGGACATCAAGGAAGAATTTCTTCATGGAAAGTGTTGTCAAGTTCTGGAACAGGATGCTCAGGGAAGTGGTGGTCATCTTCCCGGGGAAGTGTTCAAGAAATGACTGGATGTGGCACTCAGTGCTATGGTTTAGTTGTCAGTGATCAGTCAGAGGTGGAACTCAGTCATCTTGGAGGTCTTTTCTGACCTTAATGATTCTGTGATTCCTAATCAACAATTACTGCTGAAGATCAAACTCTTCTGACTGAGGTTTTCAGATATTTCTATATGTAAAGGAAATTGGTAACTGCAGAAGAGCTGGGAGTGCCCACAAACTCATACACTTGAGACATTGCATGTTTGCTGGTAAATACTGGCTTACATGTATTAAAACAACATCATTATGAGAGCATTTGTAACTCAGAACTTGAAATTGGTGTTTCTAGCAGTGCATCACATCTCATAGTTTAGCCTGTCTCTCTTTCTCTCTAAACTGAATAAATTTTTGACAAAAATATGAATTACCACATAATACAATGCATACTCTCACAAACTGCTCTACTGCACTACTAAGGCTACCAGATGAGAAATAAAGAAGTAAATGCTCCTGTAGCAGAGGAACAGGCATCTTGGGAGTTTGTTGGAAAACTCATCTCAAAAGAGTGGGAAATGCTCTGGGAGACAAAAGAAGAAAACTAGTGATGGAGAACTTACTGCAGCAAATACAGGAGTGAGGTCACATTTATATGTGCTGTATAAGTGCTATACTATCCTCTGAAAATAAGTGGCATTTTTAAAATTTTTGTCATCAAAAATAGGTTAGCTGCATAACTTTCCCAAGATGCACAGTGGATTGAGAAATGTTACTCAGGAGCTCCTGCCCTTAGCTGTTCTCAGTCCTGCTACTGGCCTGTACAGTGTCAGAAACCTATTCAATCACAGATTGTTCCTGCTTGCCTAGAACCTTAATCTGCTTATTAGAAAGTACTTTTATTTTTCTGTATAGCTGCTGCTTTATGGTAATTTTTGTGAAGTTTTGCTCTGTGTTGTGTATGCACTGAGCCATTTTCAGCTTAACATTTCTCAGTGATGTTGCTGGGATGTGTCTGTCTGTCATGAGTGCCCTGGGAATGTGGGAATGTATAAGCTGGTGCTGACAGAGCCTGCTGGATAGCACCTGCAGGGAGAAGTGTTGTCCAAAACCACTGTAGACATGGTTGTTACAACCTAGGGTGAAATATTCTGCAAGTGGTGGTTAAGAAAGTACACTCTAGGCAGCAATTCTCATGTGATAACTTCAAGGTAAAATAAAATACTAGAGATGGAAATTCTTAAATTTATAATCTCGGGTCTGATACAGACTCATTTTTTTGTTTAACTACTTACTCGTGTCTTGTTTTGAATCTTCGGGAGTCTGTACTTTTCCCACCTGTAAGACAGGGAGAATATTTCAAGTATCAATTCTTGAGTGCAAATACAATCTCCAGTCATTGTGTGAGGAAGCTAATATTGTTGCAAATGGAAGTATTTTATTCCTTTAGTGATTTAAATGCTTAGCATACAAGATACTTGATTAAGGGAAAAAAAATCATATTTTGCTGCCTGCTGTATTTACTAGCTCCTGAGGACCATTGAGGTTTATTGCTGATTTATGAAATCTTGTTATATGTGTATTAGTAATTGTATTCTGATGTTCTCTGTTGAGATCTTTCCTTGTATCTGAGTGTTTTCTTAAACATTCTGTTTGATGTTCAAAGAACATGCTCACTGACAGTGCTTTTCTTGTTTCAAGTTTTTGATTACAGGTGGGAGTCTAGAAGATAGTAAAGATGCATTGCAGCTGGCACAGACAAATGGTATTTTAACTTTAATTTTACATTGTCAGTCAAAATTATAACCTCCTCTGCTCTCAGAATTCTGAGTTCAAAAGGACCTGCCTCAGAGGTGTTTACAGAATCTCAAATTAAAATGAGAAATTACATTTCAGAGTGAGATTAATGCATTATGTATGAGTTTGTGTGTTGCTCTTTAGATCCCTGATGTTGAAAGTAATCACTCTTTTCCTGCATGTTCAATTTCTAAAGAAAAATTGAAATTGTAGAAGATTTTTGGAATAAAAATATTGATGCAAGTTTCTGTTCTAGAAATAAGATAAAGTGCATACATATTGTGAAATATATGGGGTTTGTTGGCTTTTTGTTTGTTTTTTATTTACCAATCTGTTATGACCAGCTTGATCAAGAGAGGCATCTTTCTTTTGGGCATTCCTCTGGCTTTTTCTTTCTTTCTGTGTCAGGAGAATGGCTTTTTTTTTTTTTTTTTTTTTTTTTTTTTTTTTTTTTTTTTTTTTTTTTTTTTTTTTTTTTTTTTTTTTTTTTTTTTTTTTTTTTTTTTAGGAAGATTTATTTCCACTAATTACTTAAATATGTATTTGAATTAAAACACATGATAAAGTACTGTTTACTAGCAGAAACCTAAAATAATTTTGGTTTGAATGAACTCAAGGAGATAATTTGGTCCAACACAGTCCACCACCTCACTCAGGCAGGGCTGGTTTGAGCATTAGGGCAAGTTGCTCAAGGTCTTACCTGTTTTTTTTCCCTTCCCCAGTGCTTTTACACTTAGCAGAAATGTTAGTGTTGGCATGGTAATCTAGATCAGATACTTGGGTAAATCAGGCAGATGTGAACTCTGGAATTCTCTAACAGCTTATGCAGGGGACATGAGGGAAATGCTCTCTGCAGTTCCTACAGCTGGGATAACCTGATGCACTTTGAACAAGATGCATTTCTAAATGATCTCAAGAGGTCTCATCCAGCCTCAACAAGTGTATGATTTATTGGGGGCTGCTCCACCAGAACAGTTCAGCTCTAAGCTGCAGTTTTGGAGTACATTAAATAATGTGTACTAAAAGAAGACACGTGCACACACCCCCACTGGAGATACTTTCCGACAGTTTTAAGGCAGAAAATGTCTGTCTAATGAAATTATCACTGAGATAAATATGGTCAGTCAAAAATAATGAGTTTTCATTTAAAATTGTGACCAATAAAAAGAAAAACTCTGGATGCAGATATTGTCTATACTTTAAATAAATGATCTTTTTTTTTTTTTTCTTAAAACCTCCTCATATTCTCTTGCTTTAGACATGTTTTTCAGTACAGTTGGTTGTCATCCTACTCGCTGTGGAGAATTTGAGCAGAGTAGCCCTGAACAGTATTTATCTGAATTAAAAAGTCTGATTGAAAAAAATAGGACAAAGGTAATAGCAGTTGGAGAATGTGGCTTAGGTAAGTATTCTCTTATTACTTCAATATTTATTTTTTCTAGACATATAGTAAAAAAAAAAAGAAATCCTAAAATACTAAATGAGGTTTTTGTTCTTTCTGTTTGTAGATTTCGATAGATTAGAATTTTGCCCAAAGGACATCCAACTCAAGTAAGAAACTTTTGATGACTGTGAATTAACTTGTTGCAATTTACAGTAGTGTTTTCTATCTTGTGTTCTGCCATATAACATACTGCCACATCTAGCCCTAAAGTTTGCAGGGTTGGGCTCAGAGTTTTTTTGGCAGAAATGGGAATTTAAAGAAATACGCCTACATTCAAGTAATGCAATGTGCTGAATTTTGCTACCTCCCTGGTGTTGACTTATGTCAACATGTCTTTTTTTTGTAAAACTGACCAGAAATTGTGGATTTATGGCTGTGAGAGATGTTAATTCTTGCTAATAGTTAAGAGCTCTAAGAGACTTATGGGAATAAAAAAACCATAAATGTAGTGTGTGAAAGAATTGGGCTGTTGAGTGAAAGGCATGAGGAAGGGAGCAGAACTATCAAACATAAGTCAGCAGTGGGTAAAAAAGAGTTTTTAGTAAGGAAGGTGCTAGCTGGGAGCAGATAATGGAGAGCTGATAGCAAAGGTAATCTCAGAGGTGGAGAAGTAACACATGCATCACAGATGCTGAATGGAAAGAAGCTACCACAGCCCCTACAATCAGCCTGCATTCTTCTATTGAGAACTTCTCTCTGCAGAGGGAACTGATTGAAAGATACAGGTGATAAATTCACATAAGATGAGTGATTAACAAACTACATTTGCATGTTACTGTTTTGAGTAAATGAGTCACTGGGGGGCAGTGGTTGGTTGTGTTTTTTCTAATTGCTGCTTGTAGGAGGATTCTTCGTAATGCTACAGATCTATGATGAAATACTCAGCAAAAGTGACAGGACTTTTTTCCTGGTAGAATTCAGTGTACATGAAGTTCAGCAAAGCACATTAGAGCATAATCTGTTTCTTTTTCTGTGGCATACTAAATACTGATGGAGTATCAGATTTTAAGATCATTAATTGCCTTGATGTTAGAGAGAGAAGATACATATATCTCTTTTCCTTGTCTAGTGGACTGCAGCTGAAGAGCTGTAGTGACTTCTAATTGGGTGCACTGAAATTGAGTTGTAAGGAAAGAGATGACAGGCCTGATCAGTGAACTAAAGAGAGGAAGGTAGAGTGTGAAATACACGGAGACAGTTCACTGGTTTTCAGCTGCTCAGGGGTTCAGGTGCAGCAGTCACACGGAGGGCTGGCACACAGCTGCACAGTTCCCCCACAGACCAGCAAATATCAGAGCATGACCTCTGTTTCATTTAGTACTTAAACAACATTTTTCTGGTTAGTTATGCTGTGTTTCCTTTTGGATTATTTTCACTTCTACATTATTTTTTATGCCATTCTTTTCAATTTAGAAGTTAATAAGAATCTAATAAAGATGAACTTTCTTTGCTGTAGTGTCCCTAAGACCTTTTTATTTCAAAAGTCTTCCCCATTCTCGGAACTTTTCCAACAGAAAGTGGTGATTTGAATGGTAGTAAGATGAAGGTATTGCCTTCATATTATGGTGAAAGCTATATTATAAATGCCCTGGTAGGATATAGAAGTGTCACATCTGCTGTACTACTGGGATGCATCTGTATAATCACAATATTATATGCACCATTATTCAAATTAATTCAGAATTGTTTGTCTGGAGATCTACCTCAGCAAGGCCAGTTTGCTTTATCTCCTTTAGTGTCTTGATCCTGTAGCATTTGAACGTGATGGTCAAAACTTGCTCAAAGCTTGCTCAAAGGAGCAGGTTGTTCCTTAAGCACTAGAACTCATCAGGGTTAGTTTCCTACTGAGTTATTTTCTTATCATTCCAGTCACTGTATGTCTTGTTTCAGGGTTTGGGGTTTTTAAAGTTTTTTTTAATTATTATTTTTGTCTTTTCAATAACTTCCCCATCCACCTCCCCTTTCTCTTTGACAGGCCAAGGAACAACATGTGTTGGGCTTTGTTGTTGCTAGGAATGGAAGAAGCTTGAGTTACATTTCCATTTGCAGGGGCACTAAACTTTGTACTTTCAAGGGCTCTACCCTTCTCAAAATTAGGTTGAAATTGGCCAGTATGTCACTTAGGGAGCTTACTTGCAGTTCTGTCTCTAAAACCTTTTCCCCATATGAAACAAGTGTTCTGTTGAAAGAAAACGTGACACCAAAAAATCAAGCAATTTTAGCTATTTAACCACAAGAGCAATCATGAGTTGCAATTAATTTATATTTAGTCAAGCAAGCTAAACTAAGCATGATATCTAGACAAAGAAGATTCAAAGTAGGTGTAATGGATTCTCATGAATTTTCATGTCAATTTTCAAGGTTACAGCTGATTTGTTTAACCTGTTTTATCTCAAAGATTTGCACTGATTAACAGGTCAGGTAACTTTGATATGAGAAATAGCAACTTGTAATATACAGAAAATAGTGAAAATTACATTAAAATAAAAGACCAGTTGCATATTTGTTTAGGGTCAGTTTTTTTGTTTGGATTTTTTAGGAAAATGTAAATCAAACTAATAGTTTGCTGCCACTTTCCCCTGATTGATAAGTGACTCATATTCCCTCTGAAATTGGTATAATAACTGATGGTGGGAATTTCCTGGTGCCCTGGACTGTGTTTTAACAGCAACACCTCAAGAAATTCAGTGTGTGCATAGAGCCCCAGCCTGCTGGGATGGGCAGTGTTGTTGTCCTCCTTTGCCCAAAACAGTGTGAGAACACTAAGTCACCCATGCACTGCTGGCCTCCTGCCATGCTTAAGTTCCTCTACTGTGTTCCCTGAGCGTGGGTGATTTCCCTGCCTGGGTGGAGCAGGGCAGCAGAGATGTGGAATGGTAATTGCAGAGCTGGCTGCTAGTGACAAGCACAGGTTAGGTCAGTGCTTAGTAGGTTCCTTTGGCATTTGCACTGGGGAACCTGGCTACCTCCTTACCTTCCTTCTGCCCACATTCCAGTGTCTCTTCACGGGGTGGGGCCTCCCTGTTACTGCCCCATCAGGAACAGCTCTGAGGAATGCAAAGTTGGAGAGGGATAAAAAGGAGTGAAAAGGAAAGGATGCAGGAACACAGAGGAGGGGAAGGAAAACAGGTAAAGACAGTAGGCAGATGATGTCTAATCTGATATTTGTTCCACCCCAAGAGGGGACTCACCTCCATGGATGACTCAGGTCAGCAGCTCTGATGCAATTTGGCCACTGGAGGCTGTAGAAGCCTGCACAGTAGCACTGCTCACAGTAGCCCCTCTGCTCACCCTCATTGTGTTTATGAGTGCTTCTTGAAATAGAAATGATCCCTCTGTGTCATCCTCAGTCTCTCATTCCTGATATTTCAGAACTTTGTGGAAAAAACAGTCATTTCCTCTTCCATTAAAAAAAAATAAATAAAAAAAATTAACTCCAGCACCTACACTACACAAGAGTATGTGCTCAGCATATATACATATACATTCTGCAGTACTGAGGCTCTTGGCCACTTAGCTGTCTTCAAGCATAGATCACAGCTGTGGCAATACACATGGGAAAGAGATTCTTTTAAATCCTTGCACAAATACGATCTTTTGCTGGCAAATCCATTAATTCTGTCTTTAGCTCTGGAGGACAGAAGTTTGAATAAAAAAATCTTTTAGTGTATTTATTTGTTCTTACACTGAATTTCTCTTTAAAAGTGAATTTATTTTACAGGTATTTTGAAAAACAATTTGACTTGTCAGAACAGATGCAACTGCCCATGTTTCTGCACTGTAGAAACTCACATGCTGAATTTTTAGGTGGGTTTTGTGAGAATTTCATATTTATAGCAAATTCTGAATATAAAAATCTTCTATATTCTTCTGTTATAAAGCTGTTTTATATTTTTATTTCATTTCTTAGACATAATGAGAAGAAACAGAGATAGAATTGGAGGAGGGGTGGTAAGTATGGACTTCAGTGTAGCATTCATTTTTCCATGCATATGTGTGAATATTGTTGCTTAATGTGGAATTTCTTGTTTGTCATGGAATCTGTGTAGGCTTCTTGTTACATCATTTAAACTGTTACTAATTAGTAAATTTTCCAGTCCCTTTTACTATTTTTATTTTCATTGCTTATTCAACAGGATTTTTGCAAGGTAAGAAGATAGGCTGAGAAAAAGCTCCGCAGCTGATGTGAACAGTTTTTCTTGGCCTGCCTGCAGGACAGTTTAAGCACCTCATAATTGACATTGGCCTTTTCCCAATTCCTCAGTGTCTGTAACTGCAATACATTCAGACCACAGATAATTTAGATGCATGTTCCCAGTGGAAGCCATAACCTCAGACCTTTGCTTTTGACGTTAGGCATTTTTTTCAAATTGGATGCAGATGGACCTTTTGATTACTTTATGTCTTTAGATATTCAGATTTTTTTAATTCAAAAGTCTAACAGGAAAAGCTTTGGGTGAAACAGGAAGTCCAGCAATGCTTTTCCAGGTTTCCATTTTGACTGGATTTTTCAGAAGTAATAAATGCTCATGATTCTAACATGAGACCACATCTCCTACAAGAATATTGCAGTCCCCAGGTTTGTCCTTTGTTCCCACAAAACCTTTCCCCACACTCAGTGCTTTGCATGTGTAATGTCCTGTGTAATGCTATGAAGACTCTCCTTCCTTCCTCCCTTTCTTTTTTTCTGCACAGCCAGGAAAGAGGGGAGAAATTGGCAGGTATCTTCTGCAACTGCCTGTCCCTGTCACAGTACAGGGAAGCAGAGCACACAATCTCTTTACTCTGCTCAGGCTGAGAAGATGCAGTTCCCAGCTGCATTACTCTGGAATGACCCAGTCCCTGGTCTGTCTTGCTAGTTCCAGTGGACTACCATCTGTGGAGAACAGAATGCCGCTCTTATGGTGGCCCTGACAGTGCTCTGAAGGGAATAGTGAGGAAAGAATCTAAAAATTCAGCATGCACAGAATTACTTCCTGAGTATGATCTCCGAGTTAACAGTTATAGGGAGTTCCAGGGCCAAAAGAGTATCACTGGATAGGCCTTTATACACATTTATCACTGTTAGAGTGTGGTAACCACTTCTAGTGCAGCATTCAGGAAACTTCAGCCTGAACTTTGCTCAAATTGAGAATCAACTGAGCATGTCCTATCTTGATGTTTTTAATTATGTAATACATAATTAAATAGTAAAACATACTATTGAAGGTATTTGATGCTAATAAAAGGTAATACATACTTTTGAATTATTGGAGTTTTAATAAAAGTACATTTGTATTTTTATATGTCTGTATCTGTATATGTGTTCTAGGTACATTCTTTTGATGGCACAAAGGAACAAGCAGCAGCTCTAATAGACTTGGATCTTTATATTGGAATAAATGGCTGGTAAGTTCTTTACAATAAATACAGCTGCTTTAAAATGGCAGCTGTAGTGAACTCATTGCTTTCTTTTAAACAGTGAGGTCAAGTTTGCAAAGCTCACTAGACCCTTAATCATCTGACAGATTTAGAATTGCTCACATTAGTCTGTTAGCCATCAAAGCTCTTGCCATGCAGCTCAGTGAGCGTCCACTCTACTGCCCTCAGGACAATCCTTGTTTGTAATTAAATGAGGTTGTTGAACATGGAAAGATTCCTTCTGAGAAGCATTTAAAAACAGCCTGACTTTAACCTGCTTGTCAAATGCTGGAGTAATGCAAATGTAACCTGAGTGCCTCATCTCCTGGTTATGCAGTTTGGATTCTCAGCAGTCACCTGGCCAAGTGCCAGCCAGCACCACTTTGTAATGTACAGAGGCTGTCACCAGGCAAGCAAGGGCAGCCAAAGGGGTTCTGCAGCTTGCTGGGGGTGAGATGGCTTCTCCCACTAACTTTAAATTTGCTGTTTTCTGCACAGTTTTAATTTGCAGGCAGTATTGTTAAAAAGGAAGCAAATTTTATTCATGAACAAAATTACTTAGGAAGCTGCCTTTGCTACAAAACACTTTAATAGGCACAGTAATTACTTTTATATGCTTTTTATGTTTTGGTTTTTTTTTAACCAAACTCTAAATTTTCTAGTTCACTGAAAACAGAAGCCAACTTGGAAACACTGAAATCAATTCCTAGTGAACGATTAATGATAGAGACTGGTAAGATTTTATATCTTGGTCAGATTGTGACAATGGGCAATGACATATACTGGTGTAGCAATCATAAACCAGAATCAAGGCCTAAAGAATTCAGAACAGTGCCTGTTTTCTTTACTTGAGAAAGCAGTTTACAGAGCTACTCCTTTCCAGTCTTCTGCTGGAAGGAATAAGCTGCCGTGTCAGTTCTTGACATTGCAGGGGAAGATGAAAAGGACAAATTGACAACTTGGATTTTCAAATGTACCAGAATCCTGCTTAAGTATCTTTTAAAATGTAGTTTGCTGGAGATGTGCCAAGCACAGGGTAATGGCTATGAGTTAGCCACTGGCAGCAGTAATGGCATTTGGAAACAACTGCTCTTTAAAAGGAATAGGTGGAAGAATGCTTGAATAACATGCTTAGCAGTCGTTTTAATGGACTGACTTGGGATGTCATGTTTTGTTTTTTCATATTCATTTATCAGTAGCTGACAGTTACAAATACAGTATTTATTTTAATGTCTGACTCTTGAGAAAGGAAAATCGTAAACTGCTAAAACCTTAAATATATTTGCATGTGAAGTACAGACGTATTATGAAGGAAGTTTCTGTGGAATGCATGCAGTGTATCTGGCTCTCTTTATGTCAGAGGAAATTAGCGTTATGTATTATTACTGATTTTTTCAAGTGTAAAATCTTGAAGATAATGGTATAAAAATCCACGATGTTAAATTGCCCAGATCTCTTATATTTCCTTTTGAGCTGGAGGTTGTTGATGGAAGGAGATTGTAGGAACTTTTGTCTGTAGAAGTAGTTGATTAAACTACCTCATGCTATTCTGAAACAATTGCACTCCTAATTCTTTTATTCAAATTAAACTAGATGCACCTTGGTGTGGAGTGAAAAATACTCATGCTGGATCAAAATACATTAAAACTACATTTCCTACAAAAAAGAAATGGGAAAAAGGGCACTGCTTGAAGGACAGAAATGAACCCTGCCATATAATGTAAGTGTACCACTGCACTCTTATTTTAAATACTTCAACTCTGACTTGAAAAAAATGGAAAAATCCCAGTTCACTAGTAATATAGAAGATATAAATTAATTCTAAATGTATTGAAACTTGTGCAGAGTTTTGCTTTATAAGCTGTGGAAAAAATTAGAAATCTTAATTTTCTTACTTCAGCTATTCTGGACGTACAATGCTCCCTGAAAGTGAAACCAGTACTGTTTTTATTGTTTCACTTGATGCACTGTAGGTAAACCCTCTGAAGTAATTCCTCTGACTTGAATATTCATTTCACTCACTTGTTGTTCAGGTAGTTTTTAAAACTCCAGTCCTGGGGATTGGGGGACAGTCCCACAGATGGGACAGAGCTGAGGCACAGGCTGCTGCTGTCACAGGCCTGTGACATGAACTGCCACAACTTGCATTTTGTCAGGGATGTTTCTACCTTCTGCTGTTGTGCTTCAAAGAATCTGATCCTGTGAAATTTAGATATGAATGACAGCAGCCAAGAAAACTCCAGGGGCTTATGAACAGAATTGCTTATGAACAGAAGCGCAGCCCCTGCTTTCTGCCCCCTTTCCACACAGTTCCTCACAAAAGTTTGAAAAGCAGGATAATGTGTAATTGTTTTAGTGAAAATGTTTAGTTATCTGCATTAAATACCATTAATAGATGAAATACTGAGTTTTCAGAATTCTCTGTCTAGATTTTGAAATACTGCTCAGGATAGTACTAAAGATCCAGGTATGCAGCAAGGTGTCTAAAGAAGAATTTATTTAAGAAGTGAAAGGAGTTCTGATGCTTTTTGAGACATGAAGGAACTTGGAAAGCCACTGATGATGTAAAAGCACAGTTTAAGCTTACATGGTGACATCTCCTAGTGTCCAGATATACTTAATGTAATTAGGTCAATAGTAATACTTGTTGAAATTTTTTTTTTTTCATTTTTAAAGGGAAGACGACACATTAGCACAGAAGGGTTGCTTCAGTATTGTAAGACTTTCTAGGGTCAGTCCATGATTTTGGAGTGGGGGAAGAGATCAGTAGAAAACACTCTTCTAATCACAAATGAAGGGCCTCTACTGTTACTATTTCAACCAGCTTGTATGTCAAAAACAACCCCACATATTTGTCTGCTGCCTTAGTTGTAGTTTACAGAAATGTTTCAGAAACCCCCAAACTCAAAATGCAGTCTGTTCTGCACAGATGCAGAGTGCACAAATGCACTCAGGATCATCACACAAATGCTGTGCTTTGGTATGTTCATCCAATTTATTTTGCCTCCTCTCCTTGGCTTGCATCAAGATCCTGAGCCTTTTGCAATTGCTTATTTAATATTTGCTGCAAATACCTGGTCACATTAATCACAATTAAGCTAAAGAATGGGTAAAGAAGAGTAAGTTACTTTGGCAGCACTGTGCTCTGATAAAGCTGTATCTGGAATTTAAGATTTACCATAGACCAGTCTATTCATAGTGCAGCTTTAGCCTTGACAGGCTAATGAATTTTTGTTTGAAAAATGAAGGTCATTGATAAAGACACCCACAAAATGACACTTCCTTCAAAACAGAAAGCTGTTTAATTACCTCCAAACAAGAGTCAAAAGACCGAAGATGAGTCTGTACCATAAGCAAACCAGTGTTCAGTGTAAAGGAAATGGCAGTTAGTTACTTAAAAGTGAAGCTATATGCATATCTGAGCACCCTGCCCTATTGCTCTTAGTGTAGGTTTTTATTCCAGCTTAATCTTAGTGAGTTGTACATAGACATGCAGCAATCTGAAGTACATTTTGAAGTACTGGGTTTCAGTCTTCTAATATAAATCTTTCTTTTTTAGTCAAATACTGGAAATAATGGCGGCAGTAAGAGAAGATGACCCACTTGAGTTGGCCAATACTTTATATAACAACACCATTAAAGTCTTCTTTCCAAATATGTAAAGTTGTTTTTCTTACATTTATTCAGCTTAGCTTCAGTAAATATATTGCAAAAACTTAAAAAAATCATCATTCCTGCAAGTTCTAATCAATGGAAGCCAATATGTAGTGGGTTTGGGTTTTTTATGTTACAAGATTAAAGCTGCTTTTGAAAAGGTGGTCTGCATTTGTGCAGTTTCTCAGCCCTGTTCCCCTTCCCTCAAGATTCAGGATCGACTTCGAGGCCAGGCCCTGCCTGTAACTCCAGTTAGCAGTGGAGGCACAGGATGAGCACCAGGCTGCTTCATTCACATGTAAAGCACTTCAAGCTACTGCTGGCAGTTCAGGAGGGTCGGACACATCCATGGCATGCACTTGGCTGCTTCACCAGAAAGCTGAGCAGTGTTGCCTTTTGTTCCACATATGCAAATGCTATAGCATTAAGTCTGCCAACCTAAATTTTTGTTATTTTTTTAAAAAATACAACTCACTATTTTTTTGCGGTAAAGCTCTGGTAATACTGAATTTGTAAGTAAAGCTGCTTTGGCTCAGGCTTTCATTTCCGAGTTGACCGGCTGAACAGTCTATTTTTACCAGTATTTTTCATTTGTATCCAGAAGACATTGATTGGGGATTACTGGTATACAGTCTTTGGCACAGCATCATCACTACATCAATTAAAGAGTGTTTTTCCAACCAACTTAAAAACGTGAAAACATTTTATTCCATGTACAATAATGTACATAATTTTAAGGTGGTCATGAAAGAGACCAGCAAAAATTAGAGGTATATTTACAGTAGCACACACCACAGTAAACAACCACCATTCACAGACTCAACATTGAGATACTGCTGTTGTGCTTAAGTACAATAACTACAAGGTGATACTTTTATTCCGTTGGAGTCAATCTTGAACAAATACCTCACGGCTTAGTAAAGGACATCTTAATCACCAAGGGAGTTAGAGTCAACATTAAGAGTCTCATTCAAGTGCTGTGCCACACAGTCACCATCTTCCTCATCACTATCAGAACTGTCATTATCTTCATTTAATTCATTTTCAGCATCAGCAGCTTCTTCTGCAACCCGTACAGGATTTTCATTTGGTGCTACAAACCCGTTGTTGTTAGAGACATTGGCATTTTCTTTGTCCTCAATATACACTTTCTGATGGCACATTGGGCACGTGTCCTGAATGTACAGCCACTTCCGAAGACAAAGTGCGTGGAAATAATGGTTGCATGGAGTAATGCGCGCAGAGGTGGTGAACTCGTGGTAGCAGATTGCACAGACATCATCAATTTCATGTAACCGAGCTCCTTTTACCTCTGGAAGCGAGTTGATTTTCTTCACAGCGGTGCGGCGGTTTATAAAAGTCTTCCAGCCATTCTTGGCTTGCAGGTAGATGTTGAAGTATGCGTGCAGACACATCATGCAAGCACGAATCTTGCTTCCTGATTCAAAAACCATTGTGTAAGCTCCATTTCCAAACATGATTACTCCAAATATAAACTCAATAATATTGCCAGTTGAGCGAACATAATAGACATAATCATCAAGTTTTTCCCATAGCACATTATAGTAGCCATCAATCATAAACAATATATAAACAGTGATAGAAACTATTACTTTTAGGCAAAGCTCTACACAGAATGCTGTGACTGCAAAAAGCCAAGTGTTTAGTGCATAGTGGTGCCAGAGGATGTAACTGAGCAGAACTGGAAGAATGAAAAGGCAAGCGGAGACAAACAGTACAGGAAAGTGTCTGCGGAACGATGACACATGGGAGGCACTGAGAGACATCAGCACGGGGTCTGTCATTCCATGGATAAAATGCAGGACTGCGGTTAACAAAAGGCACATGTTTCGACTCAGGCGAACTAATCGTTCCTCTGGTTTCAGTCCACTTAAACCAGTCTGCAGAGCCAAAATAAAAAACAAGACGGGTGCTACAAACCCAAGCCTTTTGTCATCCTCATCAGTTGACCCAATGAAGGCCAGGATACCAAGTCCCAAATAATGCGCTATTGATGAAATGACGGCACTCATGCCCAATACAGTTAAAGTAGAGTCACACCCACTTATGATCAGGCTGCAGATCAGTTCCCAACAGTTATCCCATGATATCAAGAAGAATTTTTCTTCTGTGTTGTTTTCAGCCATCTTTACTACATAAGTTAATACCACAGCTTGTGCTGTAAGTCTTGTTAGCCAAAAGACACGCAGTACAGCTGGAAACCGAATCCTTTTCCACGTATCTTCCATCAATAGCTGTAATCCATAAATACGATACATGTGCCTCACCAGCAGATAAACGTATCGTACCGAATAATAGAACCACTTAATTTTTGTAGCTAAAATGGCCGTGGTATTTAGTGTCAGAACTAGGCCTGAAATAAAAACAAGTATTTGCCGGACATTTAAAGGTAATTCAACGACCAAGCCAATTACAGGTATCAGTATATCCAGGATGATGAGTTGAGAGTATATGGACTGCATGTTTAGCAATGTAACATATCCAATTCCAAAGGTAAGCTGAAGGATGGAAAGTGCCATCCATAGTGAAGGTCCTTTATGTGGGAAAATCTGAATTCCAAATGCAGCTGTGTTGTAGGCACTGTAGAAGTTTATGTGCAAAGCAGCATAGTAATTCACCAACACTGAAGTTGCAGCCAGCAGAAACGCTGAGGCAATCATGTAGAACTTGAAAAGTGCTCGCTGTTGTAAGACCAGAACAACGCTGGATACAAAGACACCTAAAACCAGATTGAAATAATTTAGTTCTTAATAGATGTTCAACAACAGATTTTAACTTATTAGCTCTGGAGCTACGTTTATTTAATATCACTTTCCCATTAGTCACTTGTTACTTTTCATTACCAGTGGTGCCCTTTTTAGCGAACAAGCGAGGACAAGTTAATCTCTGTATTTAACATCTGTGCATTACAGCTGTGATGCAAAGCCACTGCAAGCCCTAAAATCAAAATTATTATGAAGTTTGTTGCAGTTTTAGGCTAGAATAGTGACAACTCCCAGCGTCTCAGCCTTAGTCCTGAAATCCAAGGGTAGACAAGTTCTAAAAATAAACAAAAAAACCCTCAACAGATAAAGCATCTCCTTTATAAGCAAAACTAATAAAGAATAAATGAGTAAGATTAAGTAAGTCCCATAATTCACTTGATCAAGGCACTCAGCTACAGCTGTCCAAGCTGGAATACTAAAGTAACCAAAACATTTCAGTTAAACTCTTTAATGGGAAAATAGTGAAAAATTGCTGTCGTTTGCTGTGGGAAAGGCACTTTTATTTCCCTTCACTTTGCCTTTATTTCTGGTGAGAGTGGTGACAAAGGTGACATGAAGAAGACCTTCCACAGTATACAGCTTTTGTGCACAGAATCCAAAACTGCATCAATTGCCTCTCTGCCAATGCCAGTGCAAACTTGTCTGTCTTGTTAGAAGTCAGATTTAGGCCTTGAAATTCCTGTTTGCTAACCTCTCCCTCATATTGACTATGACCACATCTTGACCATGCCTGGGAAGTCTGCACCTTCCTGTGAGAAATCCTATCAGAGCAATTGCAGTATTGGGAGTTTGGGGTTACATGTCCTTGCAGTAAACTTCTGTAATTTATTAATTCCATCACTGTGCACTCCATAGGTAAGGGCTCTGCCCTAAGAGGTGTTAAATGGTACTTAGCACTAGATTAATTTCCTTAAACAGTTTCTTATTCAGGAACACATTGCCTTTGTTTTGGACATCAGATTCCAGTCAATGCAACTGCTTTATTATCCAAACCAGTCTGGAGAGATTTTGATCTCTACAACTGATGTTTGATTCTAAATTACTTTCAATCTCTTTACTAAAACCAATGAAATCACGAGTAATCCTCTTTCTATTGGAGGATAGCATCAGTCTTTTCTGACAATTGTAGTTTAGGCTGTTCTAAAGCCACCATAAACCAGTGTTTAAAAACAAAATTAAGCCATAGCCTCTTGATAATGAAAATAAAATCTTTGAAATAGCATTTGATTCTTCCAATAGAGCAACCACTGCTCGTATAAAGAAAAACAACAACCAAACACACACAAATATACAACCCCCCCAAAAAAAACCAAAAAAACCACCTTTAGATCCTGGAGGATTGAGAAGAAGGGAGAGGATCAACATGAATCAACTGCAAAAGGAAGGCTACAAATAAAGTTATGACTATGCCTGAACAATATTCCTTGCCAGCACACTGGCTGATATAAATACAGTCTCCTTAATTAATCATTAACCTCGTAACCTTGTGAAGTGGACTGAGGAAAAGCATCTATCAGTTTTCTTGCATTGTAGCTCAGTCCAGGAAAAGCTGAATATTAGTTACATTTTTAGCATTAGCAGCATTTTCTACAAAATAAGCTTGACAGTTGCCTTGTCATTTTTAACCACTAGAAACATCTTTAGGAAAGCCAATACTTCTGACAAGTTTGTAGCCTTTGTCTTTTCTCAGAAGTCACAGAAAAGGCTCACATGCCTGTACAAGGTCATTATTTATGTAATTCTGATCATTTGAGCCAAAGGAGATGCATTTTGCAGTAAGCAGGCTGCTCTGAAACACGCCTTAACAAAACCTATTTTTGTGCCTTGCAGTGGCAGTAACAGGACTGTATTTAGATACTGCAGGTCATCTTAAAACACTGACGTTTCACATGCAAGACACATCTCTAAAAACAGTACAACAGTGAGTCAATAGAGCTTGTCCTACTGGTTCCTCTGAAGAGGCACTAACAAAAAGTACAGCGTGTCTCTGTTAATATATATGAGGAAAAGTCAAGACTCACTTAAGGAGACTCAAAATACCCTAAGAGGTAACAGATCTCAGAAGGGACAGTGAGCACTCCTTTCCCCCCATCTCCATTTATGTCACTTAGTCCATCTCAGCATAAGAAGACTTTGCTCTGCCCTTTGCCCATCCCTGTTTGCCCTTCAAAACAGCAAGCCTTTTTCCATTTTCCCTCTGCTAGGAAATGCTGTGGTTCCTCCACTGATAAAGTTTGTCTCTCTACTCATCTTTACTGTTTCTGCCTGTGCCACCCCATTGCCAACTGTCCCAGTACGGCCTCCAAACACAGCACTGAGCCCAACTACACTACACTTACTTTTAAAATAATTTATTGTTTTACAATTAATGTCTCAG